GATATACTCTTTACAACTGGTTCTGCGGATCAGTCATGGCCCCTCGTTACGGATTGGCCGGCTGGAGAGAATTTCTCACTCGTTAGGAATCCTGTCACATGGGAAGCACAGGGCTGTGGGCTGCTATTTGATCTGTGAGCTGTTGTTAACTTAGATGACAGTATCCAGAACTTATGCAAGAAGTCTCTCTAGGCAGAGGCAGCAGCGATGTGACTTAAATTGTAGCTCAGGGCATTAATGCATAATGAGTAATTAGGACATCTCGTCTTTAAAAAATAATAGACTCTCTCAGGCCCTTCTAGGAATTAGTTCAACGTCAAAATCAGTGAATAAAACAAGTGAAGTGAGTATCATTTGAAGCCTGTTTCATTGAAGTGTAAAAGACAAATGCACTTGTCACATTTACTTAGCCTGAGAATGATACTCAGCCCAAAAGGACTGAACTTTTTAAAGACTGACCTTTTTTATCTTGCACAACAATTGTTGGTTCATAAAGGTCAAACAACCGCTGTTAGCCTGTATGTTTAACCCTCCTGTTGTCTTAGGGTCAAATCTGACCGATTTACTACTTTCATCAATCATAACTTTTTTGTTTTACATTCGATTGCATTAAGGCTTTATGATATCCTTCACAGTAGACATTTGAACATGGAAAATTGCTGATCACCACTTTCATTGAATTTTGGATGATTTAGTCAACTTTGTAACACCCATGGTGTTCCTGGTAAAAAATGACCATCCATAAAGAAAAGGAATTAGTAACAATCCGGATCAGATAAAACACACACAAAAACACCCCCACACACACACACACACACACATACTGTAGATGTGTTCCCCCCCTTATGTGCCCATCCCCCCATGGGAATCACACCTGGCACACACAAACACACACACAGAGAACAATTTGACACATTTCCCGCTCTTATGTGCCCCTCCCCCCACATGGATTACACCTGGCACACGCAATACATGTTCAGTGTCTATTCTTTGTATATTTACTACAGTTTTTCATGTATACCAGTAGTCTGATACATTATTTACAGTTTGAAAGGGTGTTAAATGAAATTTGGTGATGATTAATGGTTTTTGTGTTAATGTAATAGCAGGTAAAACAGGACCGGTCAAATTTGACCGCGAACACCAAAGTAAGAGGGGGAAAACGAAGACAATAGGAGGGTTAAGCACCCAGCCTCTAAATCTGTTAACCTGGAGTGACAGTCGACTGCAATGTCATTGTGTGCCAGACAGATTCTCCTCTATTTTTGTTTTACTGTGCTATCACATTCAGTATAGTGATAAAGCTCTCAGACAAGGGCTTTGATATGACTTTTTTCACCCTCCTTGTATCTCGACTCAGTGTTTGTTTGTGTTTTAGCAACAAGATATGACTGTACAGCTTTGATATACTCTGTCTTGGGGATGTCTGCTTGGAAACATCAAAAGAAGTTTCAAATCTCAGCCTATAAAGCTTTTGCTTGGTGAACATACACCTTCAAACCATAAAGTAGGAGGACAAGATACTTTAAGCTGGCTTGATCTCAGACAGCAGGGTTTGACAGGCATTCCAACAATCCGATAAGATAGCAAAAAAAAACATTAGCTCCTGGAAACAGAAAGAATATATAAAGAACAGAGGCCTGGGTTGATGTTGAAGGCATTATATGTATTATGAAAAGGCCATTTAAGTTCAAATACACACCTGTACCTTTGATTTTACAGCTAGGATTTCATTAGTGCAGGCCAGTACTGTACTTGTAATGTAGCTGCCAAAACTAAATTGTGCCAGTTCTTACATGATGTTGAAAGCACCCTTTTTACGCCATTACATTACCAACAAACAATTAAATCAATGGCGCTGTAACACGGAAATCAAATTGAACAGAATGTATATCTCAGAGTGACATTCACCACCTATTTAACACTACATACAATTCTGGAAATTATTTTAATCTGTTAAATCTGCATTGAATGATTGTTTTCATTATAGATTATTATATTATATTATTATATTTACAATCCAGTGTTTCCCCTATATAGAAATAGTGGCAGCGCAGCGCCGCTGCTGAAATATGCGCGCCGCTGCTAGGAGGCGCCAGCTAGGTACCCAAAAAGAAAAAGAAAAAAAAAGATATTTTTTACTTTTTTTATTTTGATTAAAATAATAATAAATAATAATAATAATACATTTTCATTTTTGATTGTTTGTTATGTGGATTTGTAGTATTTGTGTTACTGTATGTTCAATAAAGGTGTATTTTTGCTAAATCTTGAGACATTGCCACTGTATGTACTGGCAGGGCCGATTTTTGGCATAGGGGCGCCAGATCTGGCGGGCGCTGCGCTGCTAGCTCTGGGAGGGGAAAAAACTTTTTTGACCGTTGGCGCTCATCCTAATTTTTGGCCTTGATGTAACAACATTCATAATTAAGTAAATGTAACACCCTTTTCACCCCGGTTACACTTTTCATTTGCCCTCTACGATGGGCGCTGTAAGTGATGAAAGTGGGGGATGTTGGCTTATCAGGCGCCCGCAGCTCACAGCCAAAGTGCGAGCGGGGGAGCGAGAGAGTGAGCGAGGGAGCGAGAGAGAGGGCTGTTGTTATTAGAATCTGGTGCTAGCTGCGCTAACGGATATAAGAAGTAGATGTTTCTACAACCAGGGTGGAGGAGAGCTCTCCTGTCAGACTGAGAGGCTCAGTGAGGTAAAGGACTCTCTGAGTGTTTAGATAGTTCATTTTAGTCTAAGTTATCTCAGTGGGTCTCAAACAAATATGTGTTAACAAATTATGTAAACACATATTTCCAAGGCACTCCTTTATAATTATTAGGATAAATAAAAACAGGTTTGAAATCATTCCAATGTATACTATAGGACAGTAAACCAAAAATATCGTTTAAAGTTGGAGAGATACAAAAATATGCATGAATAAATAAATCTCGCCTTGGGCAGCAAATTGGCTAGAACCGGCCCTGGTACTAGGCCTCAAGAGCCTTTCTTGTGCTGGCAGACACATATGCCCCTTTCACACCGGCGCTTTTCCAGCTCCGGCTCGGAGCTGGAGCTGGAAAAGCGCCGGTTTTTCCTGTTCACACCGCAGCGGCGCCGCGTCGCCGCGTCATAGCTCCGGAATGCGGTTCACTTCCAGCTCCAAAAAATTGTCGGTCGAGAGGCAAGAGCTTCGGAGCTATGAGACGGCGTCGCTTACGTCTCTCTTACGTCGAGACGTGCAGGAAATTTGTACCTTACTTTGACCATCCGTTCGCTGTTATTGATCATTGTGGAGAGCAGGCAGACGTTTTGTTTGTTATTATAGCAGCTATCGGATGGAATCAATACATGGGCTGCACAGGTTGTCATGTCCGACTATCACAAGTAGAATCATAATGAAAAATACGCCGGTAAAATGTGCCTGTAGAAAACGGCTTAGCAAGTAGTCAGTTTAGCTTCGGTTGCTATGCTAACATCACCCATGTTATACCAGAGAAACTTTCATAACAGCGTTGTGATGCCAAACAGCGTCAATTCAGACTGACACACATTCACTTAAGGGGAACTGGGGATATGTATCAGCTGCTTGTGTGACAGTCAGACAGTGAATACTTTAGAGCCGTGTGAGCTAACCCGGAGCTAACGGGAGAATAAACTCCCGTGGAAGAGCAGCCAGCACTGCAGCGGTCGGTAAATGCCGCTGAAACACATTAATAAACAATGAACCACGGCACTCTGGAGAAAAGTATAAGGTTGGAGAAGTCGTTATTTAATTTAATCTGGCTTCGTATGATTAAAAGCAACACGATCATCGACCCGACGCAGTCCCCCCCCCCCCCGTTGTTGTTGTGAGCTCCGTTGGGGAGAAAATCAGCGATGTAAACGGTGACGTCATGACGCAGCAGCGGCAGCTGGGCGGTGTGAACAGAGCGGGAGCTGAAAAGGGAAACCGGACCAGCTGAACCAGAAAAGCTCTAGCTAGGAGCTAGAAAGGGAAAAGCGCTGGTGTGAAAGCCGCAATAGAAACAAATTGGCGGGGCGCACTTCGCACGCGCACACACTAAAAAATTCCACGCGCTCCGCGCTCATATTATGCTGCGCCCACGTGCCTTAGCACCGCTGCTATGACTCCATAGGGGAAACACTGCAATCTATTGATCCATATATGATATACCATTGGCAAATGGCAATCACAAGATCCCACAGCCCAAGTTTACATTTTATAGTTTGATGTATCTGACTAATGGTCCAAACACTGCTCATATTACATTTACAATCATGTATAACGGAGGAAAACACATTTTGATAGCAATTTGTCCTTTGATTAAAATGATCATTCAATTATCCAAATCACTGATGGTACATTTACTTTCTAGAATTAACTAAAGAAAACAGGTCCGAACAAAACAACAATGCAAAGTCAAAGTGAAAGTCGAATAGTTTCCATTGCAGTCAAAACTAGATTTGTGCCTGCCAAATGGCGTGTCATGTTAAAAAAAGATAACTCCCTTCTGTTTCGTGGCTTTGAGTCCTGTTGACGTCCCTGATGTCGAGCTAGCTTATTGTTTAGTCATCCATTTCGTTACATGAGCTCCCAAGTTCCCTGTGATGAGGGGGGAATAGGTCAAGTGTGGCGTGATGCTACAACTGCCCTCTCTGGAGCGTCTGAAGGCTGACAGCAGGACATTGTAGCATATAAATGGTCACACTATGTCTGTCTGTGACAAGCCGCAAAGCCAAATTGTTCAAATAAGGAGTGTGAGGCCCCAAGCTTAAAAAATATCAGATATTTTGCTGTAATTCTGATGAAACCTCCATAACTCATGTTGCCCAAATACTGTGCAGATTAACTCATTTTATCCTTTTGTATATCTTCTGATTTAGTTCACATGTGTCTGCTGCAGAGAAAGAGATAGGCAAGATGCTTTGTTTTGTTCTCATTTGTAGACTTTTTTTATGATTTAATTCGACGTAATGGGCATACTGTATATGCTTGTTTTCCCTCCAGTTAGGACCATAGAGAGAAAACTGTTCGAGGACCGGCGCGGGAGCGTGACTGGAGCCCGCTCGTATTTCTATGCAGATGAGGCCAAATGTGACAAGCATATGGAGACCTTCATCAAATATATCAAAGCATCTGGTTAGTAATTGGAAATTAGATTATATCAGTAATACAACTTTACTCTAGCTAATATGCTTTGACAATTCTTACCAAAAAAGTCTTCCTTACACCAATATACATGTGGTCCAAGTCTATAACCAAATCCATGTATTACACATATTGCAGTCTTTTAGCATGCATTTTCCATCAGGTTCATATTTTGCTCTTTACTTCATTTGATTTATGTTACAGCTAAGTGTATTTGACCTCCAGGTGGGAGTTCAATGGACGGTTTTACTGCTATTAAAATGACTGCTCTAGGACAACCTCAGTTTCTGGTAAGTAGTGAGGGGACATTCAAATGTCAATGCACTCGTTTAGCTAATACGCTTGTGGTATTGGACCGCATTACGCTTTTTTTAAAGCTCCAGTTCTCAGAAGTCCTGGCGAAATGGCGACAATTCTTCGCCTTCTTGGCATCAAAGCATGGGGGCGAGGGCATGCAGGCTTTAGAGCAGAGGCTGAAGCTGAAACAACTGCAGGTGCTGTTTATCCTCCAGAGACCCACCCATTCATGTTTGTCCTCTGTGGTGCACATTGGTTTTTGGTCCATTACTTTGAGGTTATACATGCCACTGCATTAAGACCCCCTTTACACAAGAACGAAACGGGTTGTATCCGCATAGTTTCTCTTGCGTATAGCCCTTTCATTTACACGAGGCCATAACAAAATGATAGAAACGGACCCCACAACCGATAACGGGTCCCAAGGTGGATAGATTTGCAAACAAAACGCTCTGGGGGGTCAAATGGCTCCGTGTAATCGCCTCTATACGATCATTTCCCGATAGATGAAGCCATAGCCCCGCCTCTCCCCACCTCTGCTGCTCACTGCTGTAGCATGGTCAGTAGCTACTGTCAGTAGCTACTGCTAGTGCTACTGCTACTGACCATGCTACAGATGTTAGTACAACATCTACAGCTCAACCATGCTACAGATGTTAGTGCAAAATCTGCAGCTCCTCTACCACCACCATCAGCAACAAGTGGACATGGAGAATTACATGAACTACTACATGTTGCTAAATCCACCGCGGGGCATAAACAGAAGGGCAACCATGGCAACCATGCTCCGGGGTCTTCTTCGCTGCTTTTGGTGTATTTTGTGGCGGAAGTTACAGCGCCAGTTACAGGCCCGGCATATGTACTACAGCGTGTCCAGCGCTTTCGAGCGGTCTTGTGTGGAAGTTACAGCGCCACTTACAGTCCCGGCATATGTACTACAGCATTTCCAGCGGTCTCGTGTGAACAGACACGTTAAAGTGGACCTATCATGCTATATTTCAATAATATAGTGTAGGACCATACCTATATAAGGCATATTTATACTTTTTTGTTTTCAAAATACCAAACAGATCATGCATTTTAGCCATGCCTCATTTCGCTCAATTTGAAAAATGTTAGCTCTGTTTTTGCAAGGGCTGATTCTGTGAGAACAGCACCATCTACAGGCCTGGCATATGTACTACAGCGTCTCCAGCGCTTTCGAACGGCAATGGCCGTGGCTGTCTCCTCCTGATTGGTGGAGTTGGCCCAATAGCCGTAGCGCCACTGTCCTGACGTCAGGACAGTGTTCAAATCTGGATCAGTTTTTATCAGATCCGTTGCAGCCCCTTATTTAGAGATTTGGATATGGAGGAAAATAGAGAGGGTTGTGTTTTCTGACACTTGGTGAGTTCCCTGGAACACCGGGGACACATATTCATCCGTTTGTCGTTGTCGGGCACTTCCGGGTCCGGTCACCCTAGGTGATGACCATGGCGGCGGAGCGCAGCTGCTCCTAGCGGGCAGCAGGCTGGGCAGAGAGCTGAAAAGAGCTCTGCCCCGCTGCCGCGTGACAGGGCGACTGCAAATAAACACGGGTGTGTTGGGCATCTTGCTCATTGCTAGAGATGCTAGAGATGCCCCGACCTCACCAGATCAGAGCGATTATTACTACGCAGCGCCGTTGCCTGCCGTGTGATATCCCGGTGGGGGGGTCACGCCGCGTGGCACTTTCCAAAAGGACCGTGTTGATCTCCAGGGAGCCCCCATGTTTACGGAAGGGCTCTCTGCATCGATCTCCTTGGTCACGTGGGTGAGGAGTAGTCGCAGCGTGGCTGCTTCTTGCTCATCCCCAGAGAAAAGAACACTGTCCCACACTCCCCGCCCCCTCTGTAAACTCCAGTATAGGAGCCAGCAGATGGGCGCAGCCGTAACGCGGCCGTAACGCGCCGCAGACGGACCCGGTGGAATCTAGGGGTGAGAAATGCATTCAGTGAAAACGATTGCATTTATCCCAGAGTAAGAGTCATCTCTCTCCACATTTCCACTTTTCACCATAATGTCCATTTCAAAGAGACGGCATTAGGACAGAGCCACGGCCCCACGGGAGTGTGCCGTGGTGCGTTCAAGGACCTCAGTAGAAAATCGGCCCTTTTCTGTGTCAGCCCCATAGACTGTATATATATAAATGGACGTAGGGTCCGTGACGTCACCCATAGGATTCTGCAGAGTTGCCGAGAAGCCCTTAGTAGGCGGAGTCGGCCACTAACGGCTCCAGCCTGCTCCAAATAAGGGCAAAGAGGCGGAGCCGAGGCGGGACCTTCTGCCTCCAGCTGGGAAGTAACAGAGCTAGCTCAAGCTAAGAAGCTAAGCTAACATGGTCCCCATCTGCACACTGCCGTCACATTTTACGTTTCTAAGGTAAGCGGACATGAAACTATTCAGCAAAACTATAAATAATAATCTAAGTTATTGAGTTTTTAGCATAATACTTCAGAATCTTAAAATCCCTTAACGTTTGTATGCAATGTGCTAAATGCAACACTGGAATCAAGCAAATATTAATATGTTTGCATGACATTAGTTATTTATATTTTGCTATCACTTAATTATACGTTTAATACATTTAAGTCAAGCTAAGGTACAGTACATGTGATGGTAGCTAGTTAGTGCTCTTACCTGTGAGGCCTCCTCCAAACAACATTATAACCAGACTGTATCATTAAAACTATAAGTACCAGTTCTAGATCCTTGACTTTAGACAAACAATTCAAAAGACAAAATGTATTTAAAGACCAATCTTTATTTGAAGGTGCCTCTTAACCTGGGATATTAGTTATACAGTAATAGTATTGACAATCTAAAAAAACTGAGCAACTCAACAGTCAACTTTATATTTCTTATTGTCTAAAGCATTTATTATTTTCATTTTCCCCCTCTCATATTCAGTGTGGAGTGTGGACGGATTGAGACAGCGTGGTGTCCAGAGAGCTGCAGAGACTTCAGGGAGAAACCTCCGTGTGATGGATGTCCTGTCTGTTGGTTTCCTCTGCGAGGAGGACCAGGCCTGATGGAGGAGCCCATGCTGGGCATAGCTGATACCAACTGCACAGTCACTTTATTTGACTAAATGTGTTTACTTATACATTTAATAGGTTTACACCTTCTGTCCATATGTGCTTTTTATTTAAAACATGTTTGATTAACTTTTGGTTCAGATTTCAATAAATTGAATTTGTATTTGCACTCCTTTTGTCCATTATTCTTACTGAAAATGTTAGATTACACATTCACATCTGACTGAAGATTGGCCCCATTTATTTGTGACGTTGCAAACTCTGCGGTACAAGGTACAGGTGTTGTGAAGCTCATAAAGTGAGGCAAATAGAATTAATCAGCTGATGGAGTGTAGATGTGGAAATAGGTGCATTCGATCAGCTGACTTCACAATAAAAGTAGTTTCTTAGTGAATGTCCTGTACTGGTCTTAACATCTCATAACATCAGCTTTTAATTTTCCTCTTGGATGTTCTTCTTGACCCTCAGAGAAGGAGAAAATGTTGAGTCGTGTCTTTCAGGCATGTCCTTTCCTAACAAAAATTACAGGAAACATAAAGCATATTATTGCAGAACAAGTGTGTTATTTATGAAAGAGGTGTGTTTGTGTTTAGGGGCTGTAGATATAATTATTTTGTAATTGTAATGTTTTTTTTTATTTCAACAGTGAGCTACAAAGACAATCAGATTATGAATGAACAGTATGAAATTCATCAACATTGAAATGTATTTTATTATCAAATAATATTTAACTGTTATTAAAACAAGCTTGCTCTGTTGTCTCACTGAAAGAATAACTTTTACCACGTTTTTACAGACAATATTGAGAGATAAATAGCAGTTCTCACTATGCGTTAAATATCTTTGCCTTCAATACCTTAAATTAGAAAGCTGACAGTCATATTGCTTGTTAACATCTAAATGTAACCCTTTGCATGGAAAAAACCCTCAACTTCACTGATGTGTAGGTGATCTAGTATTTAGTATTGTTTAATGGAATGTATATCAGTGTATTAAAGTCAATACTTCATTTATTTAAACCAATATCTTTCTTGATTCTTTGTACAGTATGAAAAAAGAGTATTTGTACCTGTGCTGAAGTTCACTGCTGTGAGGAGTCCAGTTCTGTCTCTCACTCTCTGGTCCAGCCTGTCGAATCACCTGGACACTTTAAACAAACAGATATATATGTAAAGAACCATGTGTACAAACAATATAACTTATTATCTTCTGTTGAACATGTTGGATTGTGTATTTGCCGAGTCAGGGTCCTTTTTATTTTACTGTAACTTTGGAAGTTGTGTTACCAATGCTTACTGTTTATTTGATACCAATTTGGTAATGCAATTAATAAAAACAACAAGGTTTGGGTTCGTTCTTCAGATGACTGTGACGTTAACGTGTAAGCTCAATAATGAACTCCAGCTCAACCAACCATATTGTAATATCCAAGTAATCATCTTGAAATATGACATTAATAATTGTAATATACACACATCTTATTGTGAGGTTGATTTCACATACACTACTTCGACGTTAGCTTGTCTACATACTTGAGCATAGCCAATTTAAATTAACCTTAGGATGCATAAAGTTCCTACCTACATAATAAAATATCTCTCTAAGTTACAATGATGACCTTATTTTATCAACCTCAAACAGAAGCCTTTTGTTCTACAGTATTATCCCACTTAACGCTTAACACTTGTCTATTTCGTTTTAACCTTTATATATACAGTCCAGGGCTCTCGACTAACTTTTTTCACCATCCTCCCGGAACCGTCCCGAAATACAATCTAAGCCGTCCCGAAATTAATGTGGACCGTCCCGAATTTAAAATATTTGTTTTTCTACATTATCATTAGTTAAAATCATTCAAAGTGACCTTTAACATAAATAAAACATCATACAAATCATTAGATGATAATTCATCAACCTTTTTATTTGAGTAAATCAGTCAAACACAGAAACAAAGGCCAAATATATTAAAAAAAAACACACAAGCGAGAAAGTTACTCTAATATTGAATCCAATCAAGTCCCATCCGATTAACAAAAAAATCCAACACTCTGTCCTGAAGACAGAAGACAGAACCCAGAGTAACCACTAACCAGGATGACAGTCTGTAACACAGTCAGGAGACCTTTACAAACTGCCCCGCC